ATCAATGGTTCCTTTATTAGGAGCGCCAGCAGCCCTGGCAAAAAGTTTCTCTCTCACTGCAGGCTAACAAGTCTGTCTGGCGGGGAGATGAATAGTTGTCTGCCACATCTATTCATCTCCCTCCCCCCGCCTTTTATCCCCAGAGCTAGGGTGGGGCTTCACTAGCAGCAGTGGCTCTTTTATCCTAAGAATCGGCCCACAGATTTCCACTGCTCTCCTCTCCTCTGCCTTCTGCGCATCCGTGCATCAGGCACTGGACCCAGCTGTTCCTCCTCTTCCTCATCAGCCACCTCCAGACCTGAGGGCTGTTGACTCTCCATTTTGAAGGCTGACAGCCGACCCAGGCTCTGCCTCTGTCTCTTTCTCTGACAGCTCCATTCCCTCTTCCCCCTCGGAGCTCTCAGGTTGCCTTGATGCTGACCCTGACTCCCATGCCTCCTCCTCATCTGATTCGGATGCTGGATGGGCTGGCAGCTGACAGGCCACAACAAAACCATGTTTGGAAGTGTTTAAAAAATGTGTATGTGTGCGTATATGTAAAAAAAGTTGGCTGGATAATTTTAAATATATAGCAAGAGCAAGAGCACTTAGACTTATATACCACTTCACAGTGCTTTACAGCCCTCTCTAAACAGTATACAGATTCAGCATATTGCTCCCAACAATCTGGGTCCTCATTTTACTGACCTCAGAAGGCTGGAAGGCTGAGTCAATCTTGAGCCTGGTGAGATTTGAACTGCCAAATCGCAGGTAGCTGGCAGAAGTAGTTGCAGTACTGCACTCTAACCACTGCACCACCACGGTTCATGTGTGTACACACACACACACACACACACACCTTTCTCAGAATTCAACTGAAAACATCTTTAGGTTGATCATTATACACAGATATTTATAGATATAGATGTTATAGATACAGATATAGATTTTATATATGTAGTATGTGATAAGTGATATAAACACATACATGCAACAAATATTGAGGAACTGATAGACAATATGAGAATATAAAACCTCAAGGTAGGCAAAGAATAACACAGCTCATTGTTTCTTTTTTCCCCAGAAGCTAACTTGTGTATATATGTGGGTATATATAGCAAAATAAATAATGTCTTAAGTCAGAAAACAACAACCCACAGCCCCAAAGATATTCCAAATAGTTTTGCAAACCTTCTCATTTTTTCCAACCACAATTTCTGTCTCATTTCTGTATTAATTATGTGATTTTGGACTTTAAAATGCATATGAATATTAATTTTGTAGGTATATATCTAATGTACACATTTCACAAATCTTTCTTAATATTTGCACTTTTGGCAAGCAATTTTTCTCAAGGCAAAATCATTTTTTTTTTGTTTATATTCTTTAATACACACATTTTCTTATGTTTTCTAACAGGCACATGTATATTTTGGGGGTTGTGAAATATGTCACAAAATTCTGTCAAGCATGGATTTTGGCATTCACGCATTTCAATATATTTGGAAAGTCTAAAATCAGACCTTCCCTCTTTACCCCAAAAAACCCTTAATTTCTCATTGCTGCTAATTCCATTGAATAAAGCTTATGATCTCTAAGTGCTTTTTTTTCTATAGTAACACGTTAAGAAGAAGAAGTTATATGGTTAGATTTTAGGCATTAAATTGAACTTTAGGAGATTAGATATTAATGGCTTTCATAAGAAGCCCTTTGACCTTAAGAGTAGCATAAATATGATTCTCCCAGGCTGTCCAACACTCCCAGACCAACTCCAGAATTTAGTAAGATTCTTCTTATTGCTTGGTAAAACTCTTGACTGCAAATAATGTCTTAAAAGTATAAATGTGTACTTGTATATAGACAATATGTACATGATGATGAACACACATAATTTATGGAAAGCAATTCCTGTCCATTATTCTGGACCTGATCCCAAAGGAGAAGCAATGAGTAATGATTCCATAACATTTACTTGAAGTTCTTTTCTTGGCTTCTTGAGCAACCTGCTCTTTTGCTGTATTATGACTCCACATGTAGACTCTTCAATATTAGGTAATTGAGTAAAATAATACAAAGCCATGAATGTTTTGTCTGCTATTTTTATTTTACTTTTATGCTCCATGAAAAAGCATTTGGCTTAAATGTGCCAATCTATATAATTTACACATTTAAATGCCTCCCGGTGATAGCATTGCTGCAAATATTGTTTGTTCACACACAGATGGAAAGCTTTGTCCCAAAAGACCGACTCCATTAGTGGAGAGCCTGTTAATATGATGTAAATTAAAATCAATCTGATAGCGATTCAAACTGAGCAGAAGTTATTTGGTTGTTTCTCTCTCTTTGACTTCTAGAGTTTATTGAATAAAGATCAGGGCTAGTTAGGTAGGATTCATATATTTCACTTCCTGAGATACAAGTAACGCCATCATATCTATTTCAAAATTGTACACACTCAGAGCCACATTTCATAAATAAATAAATTCTGTCCATGTTTTATATGTGTCTAAGAAGATTACCCAGAACAATTCAGTTCACAGAACCAATGTAATAGAATCCAAAGATTGAATTCAAACTGTTGTAGAAGATGAGATCAAGGCAGTTGTTGAATCTAATGTTGTTAGTTACTAGTTGATCAAGTTCCAGATTAGTTACAGTATTGTACAGGGTTGTATATATAAGTTCAGTTGTACATTCATTTAGGGTCCAATTAATAAGTGGTAAATTAAGGTCACCAAGAAAGATTATTGGGTGTGGGCAGGAGGCTGCCCAAGTTAGTAGTGAAGTTAACTTGTTCGCATGTTCAATGTCGTAATCTGGGGCTCTGTAACAAAGTAAGAATCAAAATGTGGTATTTAAGGACAGGTTGCAGATGATGGTCTCAGGAAGAGCAAGTTCCTGTGTAACTTGAATATTTTTTAGATGTAGGGACTTTTTGTAGAAGATAGCAAAACCACCTCCTCTACGGATTTCACGATCTGACCAGTAAACATGATAGTCTCTTACTGTAGTAATGGAGTCAGAGAGGGATGTATTCAGCCAAGTTTCATAGACAAATATAATATTGAATATAGCCTTATTTAGTAAGAGGACGAATTCAGGTATTTTATTTACAAGGCTTCTTGTATTAAGTAGCTTGCATTTAAGGTCGGTAGTAGTTGTTATAGAGAAAGTTAGGGGTGTGCGTGCCTAGTTTTGGATGATGGGGGGTTGGATGGAGGAGGATTGGGCGTTAGGATGTTTGTTGTGGGACTTTCTTTTGATACAGTTGGCACGGTAGTCAATGTATAAGTCAGTATGTCCTTGGTCTTGATGTCTTTTAAGTTCTGATCTGAGTTCACGGGAGCGGATTCTTTGCAATATGGATAAGTCAGGACGTGAGCGAAGTTTGTTATGGCTGATGTCGGTTTTGGCAATTGAATTTATTGTATGTATGAATATGCATTTGATCGACTCAATTTTTGCAAATAACTCTGCAAAATCGTGGAGCTACCAAGCCATCGTTGTATTTGAACTCAGGGCCATCTCTTGAAATTTTGATGATGTCATCAGGGGAGATGTTTGGTTTATGGGAGTTTCTTATAATGTTGCGAACCTTAGTGATATCATCAGATTCGTCGTTGTCATCCAGGCCAAATTAAAATAGCGTTTGGACATTTTTGTTCACGTTCAATGGCGTCTTTGATAAGTAAGAATATATTGTTTGGTGGGTTTGAATTATTTGCTGGGTGGATTGTTACTTGTGGTTGTGATTAAGGTGGTTATTGTTGAGTTGAGATAGTATTTTGAGGTAGTGGTTGTTGAATTGAGGTAGTATTTTGAGCATTTAGGTAAAATGACCAGAGACATTCTCCCTGGCAGCCTATACCAAGATAAGCATGGATTAACACAAGACAAACAATCAAGCAAAAAACAATACTCTAATCAAGAAACTACCAAATTGAAAACCACCACCCCAGCAACGCTGGCAGGGTAAACTACTGCATATAAACAATGCACAAACCCCAAACTCACTAGTATGGAGAATGTTATTTACTAGGGTAATGCAATCTCTGCAAGCGAACAACCAAGCTCAGAGAGCTCTAAGTATTCCTCAGTATAGATTTTTGTTGATGGTTGATTATGGACTTTTTAATTCTACTGAACAATTATTCAGAGTCTACTTTGGATATTGTGGAGCATTTATCATTTGACAATCCTTTTCAAAATAACTTTAGAGTTAGGAATGAAACTACTAATCTGGTACATTTTCTACACCAGAACAATTATAAGTACAACTCATTGATAAAGGCAAGAGGGACGGGAAAACAATTTGACAGATAATTCAACAGCAGAATATGTTTTAATGTCTACCACTGTACTGTATTCATAAATTTTAAAAGAGCTATTTATCATGGCAAGGACCATTACCAAAAACTGTAGGCTTTCCACCATTGTAGTAAGATGAATGATGGTTCAGGTGCAACACAGGCCTTCTTAATAATTTATTGGGTCATGAGTTATGGTTTTATTCAATTGAAAATTATTAGAGGGGCTTGCCCTGAGGCACCATGCATGCTCTATGAAGAGAGGAAAATATATTAAGCAAACACTCAATGAGCTTAATCATTTCAAATAAGGGCATTGGATAATGGCCTGGACAGATTTGCCATTAATTTCAAAGACATTTTTTACCTCTGCACATCATCATCATAGGATGGGAGTTGTGATGTTAATAATGAGTAGACAGAACTACTATTATTTTCACATGAATTATTTTTTACTTTCTGTATGAAGAGGGACAACAGAGACCGGTCAACATTTTTTCTAGAAAAGTTTACTTGGCAAGATATTTGAAGGCCATTTCCTATTGCCTTTTTCTTTTTGATGAGAGATAATGACTGGCTCATGGTCCCCCAGCTTGTGTTCCTGTTTCTAGCCTTACACCATTACATCAAATGGGTTGTCATGGGCAACTTTAGATGTCAGTGAAGTCATAAAGGAACTCTCCTTGCATCCATCTCCTGGTTGCCCAGATATCTACAGTCCAGTATTAGTGAGTCTTTAAGACAGAAGGAGATCAGACCAAGAAAAGGGAGTTAAAAGGTAAGCTAGAAATTAAGTGGAAGGAAGACAAACTTTTAAAAAATTGTGACTTTTTGACATAATTTCAGATATATGATTATTCTAGTAAGTATTTATCACTCCAAAGTCAAGTAATTCTACAAAGATATCCCCTAAAATGATGGCCGACACATGGAGCTATAATATGAATCTCTGCTCTGTTTTTGGCATGCGCTTGTATATATTATAAATATCTACTATCAAAGAAATATGTTCTGAAATATGTCTCAGTCAAAGCTATAATCAATCAGTTGTTACATTTGGAAAACACTTATTACTACTCTGTCTTGAAAAAATCCAGTACTAAATTCAGTTTTTTTAAAAAAATAGAAACAATTTAATCACCTAAATGCAGCTACAGTAAGAACAAGGCAATCAATCCAATTAGAAACACTTAAGTATCAAATAAAAATTGATCAGAGAGATAAATGCCTTAGGGCTTTCTTAAAGGCCACCAAATATGCTTGTAGTTTTCTTATCATGGTGGAAAGTATTGTATATCACAAAGCTCAGTTTAGTGTTAGAGAAGAGCTAGAAAAGAGTTTGTTCTGCAGTAAGTCACCAATCAATAAATTAGCAGGTCTGCAAATATTCTTAAACAGATAATCTTAATGAGCAATAAAAGTTGTGTAGATGAAGAAGCTACCTTTGCTACAGTATGTTTGGCTTGATGCATAATATGAATCCAGTCATTATGGTTTGTTAACTGTGGCTGTCACTGATTCATATCATTTATAGTCTGCACAACTCCCAATAACTCTTTTTTTTAAAAAAAAGTATTGAATTTTTATTGCATTTTTTCTCTTTACATATCTCTATTACATATTTAAGAGATCTGTGACATTATTCATACAACTAGAATCAGTATTCAATACATTATATACATTATATACATTCTATTTCTAAACGTTCTATTCCTTTATATATATTTCTGTTCCTTATTTCTATTATCTATCCACTCATACCAGGGGTGAAATGCTCCTGGTTCGGGCCGGATCGCCCGATCCGGTAGTGATGGATGTGGGTGGTTTGGAGAACCGGTAGCAAAAATCCCTGCCCCGCCCCGCATTGCCCAGCTGAGCCACACAATCATCAGAGGCTTTTTTTTTAATTTTTAAAAGCATTTTTTCTACAACCTCTTTGGCCGAAAAAATACTTTTAAAAGTAAAAAAAAAAAAAGAAAAAAGCCTCTGATGATCACACAGTTCAGCTGGGATCATCAGAGGCTTTTTCTAAAAAAAGAAAGCCTCTGCTGATCAGGCAAGTCAGCTGGGATCATCAGAGGCTTTTAAAAAAAGAAACAAAGCCTCTGCCGATCAGGCAAGTTAGCAGGGATCGTCAGAGGCTTTTTTTAAAAAAAGAAAGCCTCTGCCGATCAGGCAAATCAGCTGGGATCGTCAGAGGCTTTTTTAAAAAAAGAAAGCCTCTGCTGATCAGGCAAATCAGCTGGGATCGTCAGAGGCTTTAAAAGCATTTCTTTTACAACTTCTTCACCTGAAGAGTTGTAGAAAAAATGGTTTTAAAAGTAAAAAAAAAAAAAAAAGAGTTGGCCATGCCCACTCAGTCATATTACCCCCCCCCCAAGCCACATCCACAGAACCGGTAGTAACAAATTTTACATTTCACCACTGATTCATACCATTTCTCCCATACTGTATAATATTCTGAGACATCCTTTTCCTTTAGCTCTAATGTGAGTTTATCCATTTCCGCGCAATCAAATATTTTATCAATATCAAATATTTACTAATCCGTCTGGTGGTATAATATCTTTCTTCCAATACTGCGCAAAAGCAATCCTTGCCACCGTTAATATATGTAATATCAAATATTTTATCTTTCTATTATATTTTGCCCTAAATATCCTTAGGAGAAATAATTCCAGATTGAATTCTATTTGATATTTAATTAAATCCTGCAGCCATTCCTGTATGGCATGACCGCCATGAGTGAAAGAAGATACCTTGACCCTGCTTGCATTTCCAACATTTTGGATTTAAGTTTGGGTACATCTTGGCCAGCCTCACTGGCGCTAAATGCCAATGATAAAACATCTTATACTGGTTTTCCTTATAAGCCACTGATTTAGTTATTTTATAATTTTAACTCCCAATAACTCTGAATGGCTTACAATTAAAAGAAAACACACATAAACATACATTCATAAAACAGAAATTATAAGGAGTCCAAAGGCAAACATGTAAACTATATACGTTTACTCAGCCATCCCCTGTCCCAAAGCCTGGGAAGACATCTAGGCACTTAATAGCTTCCTGAATATCATTGGGGTGGGGGGGGAGCCATCCAAATAACTGGGGGCATATAATCCCTGAGGACCAGTACCACAACAGAAAAAGGTCCTATTGGATATTGTTCAGTCAATGGGACCCAAAGTGCATTTACTTTAGGCCCCAAACAAATGGTGGGTTAATCTGATACTGAAATTGTTTTCTGCCTCAAGTCGCTAGTCATTCTAAACAAGAATTGTTTACTTAAGCAAGTAGTCCTTGCTTAACTATGATAATTTGAAGAAACAATTCCATTGCTAAGTATCACATTGTAAAATGTGATATCATGTGTGTCAGTAATGACTTATGATGGCAGTTTGTGGGAATCCCAGCTGCTGCCATTAGGTAAATCCCATGTAGTCATAGCATCCCAGAGTCACATAATCAACATTTTTGACCTGCTGGTTTCACCACCATTGAATTTGAATTTGTCAGAAGCCTGCAGTGAAAGTTGCAAATGGCAATCATTGCAGGACACATGCAATGTCATAATTGTGAGCTGGTTATCAAGCTCCTAAATTCCCATGACATGATCATGCATATCTTCTGATGTCTGCGGATATGTCATAAATCCTCATCATTCAACACTGTCAAAACTTCAATTGAGTGGCTATCTATAGCATTTGTCCAGAATTCCTGTCAGGAGCTTTTCCTTTTCTTTTTAGAGTTGAAGTAGAATGTTCTAGAATAGCACAGAATGCAAGGTTCTAATGCTAGATGACAGAATAATAATTTAGACCAAAAAATGTCCTAGGCATGCAGAAAAATAATTAGTTGTGGATGATGATGATGATGATGATAATGATGATGATGATGATGTAATTACTTGCTCCTGAAAGTTTCTAAGCTAATTCAACTGGAATGTTTGAAGCAATTACTCTACCATGGCTATGAAGAACTACGTGGATAGAGTCCAGAGTTGATGCTTCTCTGTTACATAATTTCTCATTGTATTAAAATATGGGACATAAATTTGTGCTGTTAGCTGTTCATAGAGCCCCTTAGCAGGGGTGGTATTCACTTACCTTCGCTAAGTGGTTTGCAACTGTGAGTGTGCGCCTTCCACGGATGCGCAGAGCATAAAAACCTGGATAAATGGGATGTGATTACATCCGGTTGGGTGGGCGGAGCCTCCTGCAGCCACCGCTACCAGTTCTCCAGAATTGGATAGAACCGGCTGAATACCACCACTGCTCCTTAGAGAGTTCACTGTTGTTTTTTTCAGGATGTTGCTAGCATAAACTGAAAACACTGGACCAGCTAATTCAGTGTTTTCAAGTTAGGTGGACATGTTTTAATTCTATTCATGATCTGACATCATAGCATCCTCTTCCAGAACCCAATGGTTATATGATTCCCAGCTAGGATTTTTAGGCTGCATTATCAACCATTTTTCCAATACAATGATAAAAGAAGGCTTTATAGTGCCTATAGTGTCTTCAACCGCATAACCATAAACTTATATCCAATTAAACTGCAAATTAAAGCAGATACAATGGATAAGTGACTAGATGTTAAAAAGAGAGCTCTATTTGCAAATACCTTCAGAAGTAGCACTGTGTAAATAAATCATGAAGATAATCACAAGTCATTGCTTATACGAATATGTAAAATAAGATTGCCTGCTGTAAGCTGTAAGTACTATTATGCAGCTCTGTTTTTTGTTGCACTAATAGTTACAGTGACCTCAAGCCAATAACAAGCAATATTACATTTCAATAAAATGAAAGCTTTCATAAAAATAATGGGTACAAATCATTCAAGCATTACATTTAACTCCGAACCTGAGAGAAGTAACTTGTTACACTGAAGATGGTGAATCTTTGCTCCCCCTACATTTTGAATTACAATTCCAATCAGTCCTGATCAATTTTGTTGTTATGGCCAATAGGAAATGAGCTCCAAGTTATCTGAAAAGCTACATTATACTGCAATTAGAACATAAATATTACTGCAACCCAAGCCAGAAGACTTTTAGAAATCAATAGAATATTAGTATTCTATTGATTCTCCAATGAAGCAGTCAAGATGACAGGATAAGTAAATAGAGGCTACCATATCTAGGCAATACAAATTAGAATGGCCAATGGAATGTAGAAAAGAGAGTTTTGAGGGTGAAAGTTCATTCTCCAAACTTGTGGGTTGGTTTCTGAACATTTCATTACCAGGCTAGGTAACATCAATAGCGGAGTTTAGGGGATGTCAGTGTTCTTCTGTTTATAGGGGCTTTGTGACGGGTCAGTGTGTGTCAAGTGAGGCTCTTTTAATGGGCCTTGTGATGGGTCAGGTGTGAGTCATCAGTGTGAGTCTTGTGATGGGTCTTTTGAAAGGGAGGTTACATCAGGTGAAGGTCATTGGAAGCTGAAGTGGTGATTGGGGGGGTTGCATGGGTTGGTTGAGGATCGATGCTGTCTCTGGTTAGCTGCGTGGTTGATTTTGACTCTGAGGGGTTCATAGGCTGGTTATAGGTCAATTTGTCTGTTGATGGAATTGCATATGGAGGGCTAGGCTTTGATAAATTCTCAAACGTAGTGGCTAGTAGTATGGCTGATTATTTTTGTGTTGCTCCGATCAAACTGGTGCTGATTGGTATTAGTGTGAGTACAGATTAAGGATTTGGGATCATGGCATGTGACTGCCAGCCGGTGTTCATGGATACTGGTTTTTAATTGAAGTGATGTTTGTTAACATCAT